ACTCTTTCAGAAGAACACGAAGGTTTCCCAGCAGACACAAAGCTGCCCAACTGTGCTCCCGGGGCAGAGAGCGTGCATCCGATCCCGACGCTTGCAGCCAGCTTGCCCATCGCTGGCACAAAACAGATGCTTGGATTTTGCAGCGACGGCCGTTTCAGTCCTCGCTTCAGCCTCTGCTATCCATTCTGGCGCACACCAGAGGCTCGTACCCAAATCATCGGTGAAGATTTTCCCTAGAAATATTCAAGGACAGCCGGCTTCCTCTCAACACATTATCTTGCAATCCTAACCAGTTCTTCTCCCCGCACGTCAGGACTGGGGAGGCCGTGGAAGGAAAGGAGCCCTGTGGGGCACCCGAGCCGAAGAAATACACGCTGAAGGTCATCCATTCCCCCAGGCCCATCCCCAGCGCTTCCCGGATTTCGTTTCTGTCGCTGTAAACCAAGGCCCTGCCGCTCAGATTGTGGTCCTTCAGTCTCGCTTTATACCGCTGGGCGTTCTCCTCCTTCAAGTCCAGTTTGTCCATCTGCAGAAAGACAGGAGAACAAGAAGAAGAGGAGGAGGAGGAGGAGGAGATTGGATTTATACCCCCGCCCTTCACTACCCGAAGGAGTCTCAGAGTGGCTTACAATCTCCTTCCCCTTCCCCTCCCCACAACAGACACCCTGTGAGGTAGGCGGGGCGGAGAGAGCTAAGAAACTGCTAAGACCAAAAAAAATATGTGTGAGCCGGAGGCTAAAAAAACTGTGAGCTGGCTCACACTAACTGGGCTTAGAGGGAACACTGGGCACAGCCCCTTGGGGACCCCCCGAAAACCAGGAGGCTCCCAGTCCCCGGCACCGAGCGATACGATCCCGCCTCCACCTACCTCCCGGCAGACTTCTTCCACCGACATCCTCATCAGCGTACACTGGGAGAGCCCCAGGGACTTCTCCGTCCGCTTCAGGCTGTGGCTCCCCCGCAAGAGCTCCATGTGCCTCTTCAAGGAGGAGTCCAGGTTGACCGTAAAGGGCAGGAAGAAGAGGGCGTCCTCCACCTGGAACCGGCCGCTGAGGAAGCTCTGGAAGAGCTCGGGGTCCCCGTCCAGCTCCAGGAGCTTCTCCAGCTGGGCCTTGAACATGTCGAGCTCCTCCATGTACTTCTCGTACACCTCCCACAGGAAGAGGTTGTGGGCCAGGTGGCACCCGTGGGACAAGCCCAAGTGACTCATCTGCTCGTCGTCCTCGATACACTGCAGGATCCAGCTCAGGCGGCAAGGCCACTGGTTGGCCAGGAGGACCCAGGCGGCCGCCTTCCGCGGGCACAGCTTCTCCCGGGGGACTTCCGTCGCCATGAGTCTGACCGTGACGGAGATGGTGTTGACGATCCTTTTCATCTGCACCAGGTTGTCCGTCATGTATTCCTTCATGCTCCCATCCTGGAGGAACTCCAGAGCCTTCTTGATCAGCTCTTTGGCTTTGAAGCCTTTCCCGCATCTCCCTCTCGGCGGCTATCGGCATTCGGGAACTGTGACCACCAGAGGTATCTCGGCATCGTCTTTTATCTTCTTGGGCCCGTTATAGCCCGCAGAATCCCCTAAAGGGCACGAAGCCGATCCCGGAAGAGGACCTGCCTGGTTTTCCCGCCGGTTCCTCTGCTGGGAATCCGCCCCCGGTTCTTCCTCGTCTTCGAAGCTCTTCTCCAGCTCTTCCCTCCACTCCACGATATTTCTAAGCAGCTGCATCTTGGTCTCGCAGTCCATCTTGGGGACCGAGAAGGGCAGAGTGATGATGCGGTCCAAGAACTCGTAGCCGTTGTTGGCCATGCCTTTCATGTACAAGGAGCTCTCCACGCAGGCCACAATCACGCTCGGGTCGACCGCCAGGATGGAGATGAAGGGCGCCTCGTAGTCCGAGAGGAGGATGTTCATGGCGTCCAGGACGCCCACCACTTTGTCGGGGCTGCAACGGTCCAAGCTGGAGATCACCAGCACCACGCGGAGCTTCCTCCGCTGGAAGATCTCCATGAACTGGAGGAACCTGGCGACGACCTTGACTTCCCTCTTGACACTGCTCATGAAACCCAGCTGGGCGCTGAGGTCCGTCCGGTTCATCTGCCTCTCCAGCTGGGCCTTCTGAGTGACAACCACATTCCTCGCCACCATGACCGCCATCCTGATAGCCGCCGCCGCAGTGATGCCGACCGCCGTGGCCCCGATGCCCTCGACGAGAGCGATGGCATCCCCTGAAGCATTGCCGACGGGAATCCCAAAGACAAAGATGAGGACAGCCACCCCAATGGCCACTCCGGAAACGAGGAGCACAGCAGCCCACAATGGGAGGCAGAGGTATTTCTTGCTGACCCATTCTTTATCGAGAGGTGCGTAAACGACGCCGGATTTCCTGCCCACGGCCCGGTAGAGACTCATGGGGACGAGGCCAAAGTAGCCCTCGATTCCGTCACACAGAGCAGTAATCAGGCCTGCCCAGAGCTGATCGCTGCCAGCGTATTCCCAGGCGCTAAAATGGATAAAGAGGTGCCGCACGTTCTTCCTTTCCTTGTGCCGGGGCGTCAGGACTGGGCGGTAGAAGATCATAAGGAAGACAAGGGAGACCAGATCCCGCCCCGAGGCCCCGCGCTGTTTTGTCCCCGTCTGCTGAAACTCTTGCTTGTCTTTTTTCAGCGACTGAAGACCCATGTACTCTGAGGTGAAAAGGAAAAGATTTAGACCACACATCTTGTCAAATCGTAAGCCTGTTTTGATACCCATTCGTTGTATAACACTTGCATTTTGAAAGCACTTTAGAACTGACCACTCTCGTTAGACCCAGCCGTTCAGCTGGATGCTCAGAGTCCTAGGGGCACAGAAGAATTTGTTTGTTTATTTCCTTTGCTTATCATCCGCCGTTCTCATTGAGACTGAAGGCAGATTGCGTGGCATAAAACAGTGTAATATAATCGCACGAGAGATCTAATAAGCCATGCAGTAGGATTAGGATTGCCAGAATGAGAAAGTGCGAAAAAAGTAGCAGATAAACCATGCAGATAACAGAATTCAAATGGAAACAGATTAGCCCTCCCTGGTCTTTCCCAACAAGAAAAAGGGCAGGAGATGGAAGAGTGAAAGGGCAAGTTCCTGAGCCAAAAAATTGTGGACGAGGGCTGGGCTCAAAAAAATTGTGGACGAGCCGCTGGGCTCAGGCTTAATGTTCAGGGAAGGGTTTCCATTTAATTTTGTACCGGGGAACTCCTCTACCAATATTGGACAGAAGAGCTCCACCCATGAATCGCTGCCCCAAGTTATCTCCTTTTCTGTGCCCCCCCCCATGTGGGACTGGGGAGTTGGGAGCTCCAGGTACTGTGGAGAATTCTGCAGGGATCGAGGTCATATAGCTCAGCTGGCTGCATCCAAGCAGTGTTACACAGGATAACCCTGTGAGAAAAGGAGACAGATACCCCCCCAGTGGTTTTCACACTGAGAGACTCGTCCTCTGCTCTCTCTCTCTCTCTCTCTCTCTCTCTCAATTGACCCTTTCTAATATGGCCTCCCATCCAGTGGAAATGAGCCTACAGAATTCCCTTCCACTGGACGATGCACATCCTTTTTTTGTTCTCTGTGGCTGAGTTCATGGACTCACCTTGGATCCTGTTCAAGAGGAAGCTTGTGCAGTGTCCCCATGGGGCGTAGAACCCCACCGTCACAGGAGTGTGCACACAGTAGAGGGCCTTGGCTAAGGAGAAGCAGTAGGCATCATCTTTGTTCTGGAATTCTGCGTCCGGAGAACAAAAGACAGACCCACGTTAGTCCCGGTAGGGAGCAGTTTCGAATGCTGTTCTGGAGCCCCTTTTAGCGGAGGCGTTAACAAGGGTAAAATTTACACTATTCAAGAGATTTCTTTCAAAGTCATATTTCCAAATCAATTTGTGTTTATCTCAGCCCTGTCTGCATTTTGCTAGAAGTAAAATAGTTCTGATTGCCACCCCCCTTTTCCTCCCCGCACGTAAGAAACCCTGGAGCACCTGTCTTGTACTTTCCCACACAGCAGGAGATCAGTGTGGACTACAGGAGGCAGTCTAGCCATGGATTACTGCACTGGAGGACCAAAGTGTTTGGTCTGTACCGCTGGGCTCAGGCTTAATGTTTTACCCTCGGCAATTTTATTTGGAAGATTCCAGGGTATTCCCTTTGCCAATAGCCTTTGCCCTTGCAGATGTGAAACTACTGAAACAGTGTACCATGTGAAGAAGAAGAAGAGAAGAGATTGGATTTATACCCCGCCCTTCACTACCGAAAGGTGTCTCAGAGCGGCTTACAAACTCCTTTCCCTTCCCCTCCCCACAACAGACACCCTGCGAGGTAGGTGGGGCTGAGAGAGCTCTGGCAGAAACTGCTCTTTTTCAAGAACAGCTCTTATCAGAACTACAGCTTGCCCAAGGTCATGCAGCCAGGTGCAAGTGGAGGAGTGGGGAATCAAACCCGGTTCTCCCAGATTAGAGTCCGCGCACTGAACCACTACACCAAACTGGCTGTTTGAATGTTATTATGCTGGTATTAGGCAACGAATTTTATCACCAATGTTGGGTAGTGTGTCAGATTGTTCCAGGCCGACCAAGCTAATATTTATTTTAAATAGCACCGAGGAAAACATAATTGAACTAGTGGCAAAGTTTTTACTAGCTGCTGCCTAGATACGTGGTAAAATTTTGCAGGTGCTCAACGTGGGTTAATTTTTTAACGGAATTGTATTTTATGCAGAACCTGGTTTTCTATTTCTCAGACACTATGTTTTTACTTTTGTGAAATGCCATTAAAGGAATTGTTTGTGTGTGCGTGTGCTGCTGGGCTCACAATTCTTTACGGAAGTCAGAGGTCATTTCAGGGGGGATCGCGGGAGATCGCAGTTCCCCCGGGTGAGGGGCGGGGAACACGACGAAGTCCTGCCCCCTGCTTACGGCCGCCCCGCTTACGGCCCTCATTCAGCCAGGAGGAGGCAGGAGAAGAGGGAGGGTAAATTGCTTCCTCCCCGCCTCTCCCCACCCCTGCCTGCCTGGGGCCAGGGAGGGCCTTGGCGGGGCTTCCTCGCACTCCGCCGGGCCCCTGATGTCAGGGGGTGTGGCATATGCTAATGAGTTATGCTAATGAGTTCCCCTAGCTCTTTTTCTACGAAATGACCCCTGACGGAAGTAATTGGTGGGGCATTCTCTTTACCAACAGCAAAGCCACAAAGACAGAGGCCGCATTTCTTGGTTCAGACTGAACACTGCCAATGGCTGCAATCCTAAACTCTGTATACTCTTGTTGTGCCTCTTGGGAACAGTGCTATCTCTTCACTACTTAACTAGAAACTTTTATTTTTAAAAATTATTTTATCAAATTTTCAACATTATATATTTTATATGAACAAATAACAAAGATGTTCGACTATTCTAGGAACAAACACAGATGAGTCCGCATAGCACAATACAAAAGAAATACAGTCTGAACAACACCAGAAGAATAATGTTTTGTGAGCCAATAATCATTCTACACAAACAACATATCCCTACAATGAAGATTCGATGGAATTATTCCATCAGGAACCACGTCACAACAAATTTCGATTGATAGTTGCCAGAATTAGACTGGGTTAAGCCATCCGCAATTTCCCCCATTATGAATTGATCCCAAACTTTATTGTAGCAGGTCGTTAAGGTAGGTATTAAATTGGCTTTCCATTTGGAAGCTACTGCCGTTTGAGCCGCCACTAGTAAGGTTGAGATCAAGACCAGTCTTGAAGAATTTAGACTTAATTTTGGCAAGTGATTCGATATGATAGTTTCAGGAGTGGGAGGTATCTCTAGGCCCGTTATCTTTTTGATCTGTACTACTATTATCTCTTGCCGAAATTTATTTATGAATACACAAGAAACCCTTTATTCATAGTGGGCATCTGGAAAATTTGGAGCAAATCATAGGGCCAAATTACATGTTACAATATACGTGAGTCCACCATGGGGACTCGCAGCTACATTATACACGCGAGTCCCTGTGGTGGATTCATGTCCATTGTAACCTGCAGTTAGGCCCTCAGACGGGCACTGTCGAGCAGCAAAAGACTTAGCTTTTTTTTTTACCTGGATCACTCCAGGATCCTCAGCATGACTGAAACAACAACACTACAACTGCTGCCTGAAAACCGGGTGTGTCTTGCTGAACCAAAAAGGGCTGCCAAACTCTGGTAAAGCCCCTCACAGTCAGCAGTGCTGGCAATGAGCCCTGAAGTAAGGTAAAGGTGTCCCTTGCTCAAAAGCCAGTCGAGTCCGACTCTAGGGTTGCGGTGCTCATCTCCGATTCAAAGCCGAAGAGCCAGCGCTGTCCGAAGACATTTCCGTGGTCATGTGGCCGGCATGACTAAACACCAAGGCTCACGGAACGCTGTTCCCTTCCCACCGAAGTGGTACCTATTTATCTACTTGCAATTTCTTGCTTTCGAACTGCTAGGTTGGCAGGAGCTGGAACTAGAGATGGGAGCTCACTCCATCATGCGGCACACCCGGGTCTCGAACTGCTGAACTACTGACCTTCCACAGCCTGCAGCTCAGCGTCTTAACCACTTGAGCCACTGCAGCCCTGAAGTACATTGCTTTAAAAAATGCAGTAAGACGGGCTGGCAAGGGAAACTAGAATCCTTAACCGGTTAAAGACCAGCAGTGCCAATAAGGACTCCCGTGAGGTTGTATCCCCTGGGTCTGGGGGAGCTGATACACCTGCGACTGCGAGGAAAACAGGGGGATGAGTCTGTCTGAGGAGGATAAAAACCCAGCTAACGGGCTTCTCTTTCAGGTGGACACAGGGAAGCCAAGTTGCCCCAGTTACCTCTGGTCAGGGAGACCATTGCTGATAGCCGCTGCAGAGCACTGAAGATCATCGGATGCCGGTAGCTAAGGGAAGAAAGAGGAGACGGAAGAGTCATCCAGTTCATAGCCAGCCCAGGGCAAGGAAAGGGGGGAAATATCCCGAGGAACATGTTTCACATCCAGGGGCCAATGCCGATGAGTCCCAGCAGCAAAGAGGATTTCAGAGGTTGCCTTGAAAAGGGAGACGCAGCGGCTTCTCTCTCTTGAGAGAGAACGGATAGAAGAGGGAGCTGGGATTGTGCTGATGGGCCTCGTCACCTTGGAGAGCATTAAGCGAGTGTTGCCAACTCCGGGTTGGGAGATACCTGCAGATTTCGGGGTGGAGGCTGGGAGGGCAGAGTTTGAGGAAGGGAGGGAACCTCAGTGGGGTATAATCAATGTTCCTTCTAAACTGAGTTAGTGTGAGGCAGCTCACAGTTTTTTTAGCCTCCGGCTCACAGATTTCTGTCTTCGCTCAGGAAGGAGGGCTCCAAAGCAAACTGATTTACGCAGTAGCCAAATCGCTCGCTCACAACTTTAATGCCCGTAGCTCACAAAGCTGATTTTTTGCTCACAAGACCCCATAGAGTCCAGCCTCCAAAGCATCTGTGTTCTCTGGGGAAACATCCCTATTGTGTGGAGAGCAGTTATCACTCTGAGAGATCTCCAGGTTCCACCCCGGAACTACAATAACAAAAACAAAATGCACCGTGGAGAGAGCGATCGCTCAAGGTCAAATACCACTAAAGTGCTACTTAAAGGTACATGTCTCCAACCTAATAAACGAGAAAACCAAGCATGGAGATTAAACTGTAGATCTTTTAGTACGATCTACATATTGCTTGTTAAAGCACTAAGGCTTTGAAACAAATACACGAGTACCTATCTGTATAGGTAGATAACAACGTGGTCGATGTTTAGTTGTAATGATATACTGAGCCGCTTTTATTCATATTTATTGTATTTATGTTAAGTTGTTTTATGGATTGATTGTTTCATGTATATTGGTTTTATTAATGCTGTGAGCCGCCTTGAGCCAGTTCAGCGGAAAGGCGGGATAAAAGCCGAATAAATAAATAAATAAATAAACCTTCCCAAAGCAAGACCAGTAAATGGGCTGTATACAGTCCTTGAAAACACTGTCATCTTCTTTGCTGTTTCTTAGTTTCCAAACTTTCGTGTCTGCAGGGAGGCTGAGAAAACAGGCTGACGTCTCTTGTCGGCCGAGAGAGTTTCGATTCTACTTCTTCTTCAGAGCTAATATATTTTTATGTGACCACACAGTTTACATATTTTGCATGCCTTATCATACCCCCACATGGGCTCGTTACACCCCTTACGGCAAAGTGGTTTATGTGGATCACACCGAAGATTTAGTTTAATCTCCATGCTTGGTTTTCTCGTTTATTATGTTTGAGACATGTGCCTTTAAGTAGCACTTTAGTGGTATTTGACCTTGAGCAATTCATTCTCTCCGCTGGGTATTTTGTTCTTGTTAGTGTACTTTGTATCTCCGTGGTCCTGTTGTATTTCGTGCCAGGGGTCATTTCATGCCAGGAGCGCACGGGAGCGGAGCTCCGGCAGTAAAGAGCCCAGGGGGTGGGCACATGCAACAAGCCCCATCCCCTGCTCCCAGCAGCCCTCAGTCAGAGCAAGAAGCAGCCAGGTAAGTTGCAGAGCACACACACACCCCGGCACCCCGGTCCAAAACAGTCCAGTGGCACCTTTAAGACCAAGTTTTATTCAGGTACAAGCTCTCCCTCCTCTGCAAGGGCAGATCTGCACGTTCCCCCCCCCCCCAATAGCTAGCACTCCAAAACAGTCCAGTGGAGCCTGAGCAGTGGGTGTTGCCTTCAGACACACTTCCGGTGATGTCAGGGAGTGTGGCATATGCAAATACGTTATGCTAATGAGTTATGCTAATGAGCTCCTGCACCTCTTTTTCTACAAAATGGCCCGTGTTTAGTGCTATCCATCTGGAAACTGGCAACTCTAGGCAAGGCCGAGCTCTGTATACCATCTCACCAAGAGGGAAGAATGGTGAAGACTTTCCT